GTCGTGGTGGTGGTCGGCGTGGGTACACTCCTCCCGCTCCGGGTGAGACGTGTCAGCTTTGCGGTATCTTAAATCACACGGCCGCCACTTGTCGACGCCGTTTTGATTCTACTTTTGTTCCTCGACCCCCTGCCGTTCGGTCGGCTGCTTATGCCCAGGCAGGTTCTGCTGCACCGCCTTCAGCTGGTTTGTTGCCTCTTCCATCTTACCCAGAGTCGACTATGTCTCCTCAAGCCCATATGGCGCAGTATGCCCCTTCTGTCACTCCCTGGTATCCAGACACTGGTGCTACCGATCATGTCACGCCAGATTTGTCCTCTCTCAGTATCTCCAATGATTATACTGGTACGGATCATATTTTAGTTGGTAATGGAGATGCGTTACCTATTCAGCATGTTGGTCAATCTGTTTTGCCATCGTTTTCTCGTCCTCTTTATTTAAATCGTGTTTTGCATGCTCCTCTCTTACTAAGCCTCATTATCTGTTCGAAGTTTACCCGTGATAATCACTGTTTTTTTGAATTTTATTCGACTCTTGTTGTGTTAAGGATCTTTCAACCAAGGAACTCCTCCTCCGCGGTCGGGCTGATAATGGTCTCTATCGCTTAGATCTTCCTGCTCGTGGTTCCTTGTCTCCAGCAGCTTATCTTGTCTCTTTAGGTCAGTGGCATGCTCGTTTAGGGCACCCTAATAATGTCACTCTTCGTACTTTGGTTAGGCAGTTTCAACTTCCTTATTCCTCTGTGTCCACGTCCACTGATAAATGTGAGGCGTGTTGTTTAGGGAAGTTACATAGGGTCAGTTTACCTTCTACTTTTCATCGTAGCTCTAGACCTCTTGATTTAATTCACACTGATGTTTGGGGTCCTGCTCCTATTTTGTCATTCAATGGTTATCGCTACTTTGTGCTTTTTATTGATGACTTCTCTTTATTCACATGGATTTATCCCATTAAGTATAAAAGTGATGTTGTCCATGTTTTCAAACAATTCAAAGCTCTCGTAGAAAACCAATTTGGCACTACCATTAAAAGTGTTAACTCTGATTGGGGTGGTGAATTTCGTTCTCTCAATTCTTTCTTTAAGGATGTCGGTATTGTTCATCGTTTAGCGTGCCCACACACTCATGAGCGAATGGCACTGCTGAACGCAAAATTCGTCACATTGTCGACATTGGACTTGCTCTCCTTGGCCATTCCAGTACCCCTTTTCGGTTTTGGGATTTTGCTTTTGAAACTGCTGTGTTTTTGATTAATCGCCACCCTAGTAAACCTCTTCAAGGTCACCTACCCTTCACTACACTATATCACCAGCCACCTGATTATACCTTTCTTCGTGTCTTTGGTTGCGCTGTCTATCCTCTTCTTCGCCCTTATAATAAACATAAATTCTCCTTTCGTTCTACTCAGTGTGTCTTTCTTGGGTATTCTCCATCTCATCTTGGTTATCGCTGTTTTGATGTGGTGAATAACCGTCTTTATGTTGCTCGTCACGTTGAGTTTGATGAGAAACTCTTTCCCTTTAAACTTCCTATTTCTAGTTCTCCTTCTTCGCTGCTGGAGTCTTCTGCTACCCCTTGGTTGCGTGTGACCAGTTCTCCTGGTATACTTGCGTCATCTTCTGTGTCCTCCTCGTCTCCTTCTAGTACACCAGTTCTTTCGTCTCCTTCTATCCCTCCTGACTCATCATCGTTAGCTAGATCTCCTGCATCCAGCTCTTCATCATCTGATTGCAGTCCTCCGCCGCCACCTCCTCCTCCTTCTTCCTCCCGTCAGCACTCAATGACACTTCGTCCACAACCCAAGCCTAAGAAAATCTTTGATCCCTCGGCTCATCTTACCTCTGTTTCCCCAGCCTTGTCTACTGCTCCTACATCCTTCACCCAAGCCAAATCTCTTCCTCAGTGGCAGAATGCCATGAAGGATGAAATTTCCGCCCTCCTCAAAAATAACACATGGACTTTAGTTCCCCCTCCTTCCTCCGGCAATGTTGTCGGCAATCGATGGCTCTATAAGATTAAAACTCATGCTGATGGCTCCATTGAGCGGTATAAGGCTCGGTTGGTGGCTCGAGGTTTTACTCAGTCTTTTGGGGTTGATTACACCGACACATTTAGTCCGGTTGTTAAGCGGTTACCATTCGTTCAGTTTTGACTGTTGCCCGGCTCGTGGATGGTCGATTTCTCAGCTTGATGTCGTAATGCCTTTCTTAATGGAGTTCTAAGTGAGACCGTGTATATGGTTCAGCCACGGGGTTTGTTGATCCGGTGCGCCCTCATTATGTGTGTAAACCGCATAAGTCCTTATATGGTCTTAAGCAAGCTCCTCGGGCTCGGTATTCTCGGTGGCGGCATTTCGCTTACCTTGGGTTTTGTGGAGTCTCGTTGTGATCCATCTCTGTTTGTCTATCGCCGTGGGTCTCGGTTGTGTTTTTCTTTGGTTTATGTGGATGACATTATTCTTACAGCAAGACTTCCGGTTTGGTCCAAGATTTTATCTCTTGTCTTGCTAAGGAGTTTCTCTTCGAGATTTAGGTCCGTTGAGTTACTTTCTTGGGGTTGAGGTTCGTCGTACTTCCAAGGGTTTGCTTCTCTCTCAGCGCAAGTATGTCACTGATTTGCTACGACTTGCAAATATGCATACTTGCAAACCTGTTTCCACTCCGTTGCAGGCTAATGTTGTGTTGTCCCGTTTGGATGGTACTCTGTTGTCTCCTGATGATGCGACTACTTATCGTCGGCTGTGTGGCAGTCTGCAGTATACAACTCTCACTCGTCCAGATATCTCTTTTGCGGTTAATAAGCTTTGTCGGTTCATGCATCGCCTCGCACTTCTCATTTTCGTGCTCTCAAACGGGTTCTTCGCTATCTTCGTGGTACCGTTGACATTGTTTAGTTCTGCATCCTCTGATTTGGGTACTCTTCTGCGTTTAGTGATGCTGACTGGGCTGGTTGTCCGGATGATCGTCGTTCTACTACTGGTTTTCTCATTTATTTGGGACCTAATCTCATTGCACAGGCTTCTAGGAAATGACCTACCGTGGCTCGCTCGTCTACTGAGGCTGAGTTTCGTGCGGTTGCTAATGTCTGTGTTGAACTGCATTGGGTGTGTCATCTGTTGTCCGAGTTAGGCGTTTCTTTACATCGCCCTCCCTCGATTTGGTGTGACAACAGTAGTGCAGTTTTCCTTGCTGTCAATCCTGTGTTCCATGCTCGTACAAGACATGTTGAGGTTGATTTTCACTTTGTCCGAGATCATGTTCGGCGTCAGTTTGTTTCGGTCCATTCTATCTCTGCTGCTGATCAGCTTGCTGATATTCTGACGAAACCCTTGTCCAAAGAGTTATTCTATCGATTTCGGGACAAACTTCGGCTTCTCTCTTCTCCGCCGTAAGTTTGCGGGGGCGTATTGTAATATTTAGTATATTTCCTATTATGTTCTAGTTTAGGGTTTCTTATGTCTATATATAGTCTGTATATTGTGTACAACAGATTATGAATCTAATACAATTTCCCTATTCTAACTGTATATATATATATATATATATATAAAGAGTTTTGTTGATTGAATTAATCATTAATTTAATATGATCGATTTTTTGTGAATCTTCAAAAGAACACAGAGTCTACACTTTCTTGACCATTTTATTGAGTAAAAAAAAGGTTGGGAATTCTTGTTGGAGGACTTACGTTCTCTAATTTCAAAATTAACGTGCATAATTTTACGAAAAGGCCTTGAAATTTGAGAGCCACGACTTTTAATTTGCTGTTATAAAATTAAAGTCAAGGTGTTGAAACATAATTTTTTTTTTGAAAAATAATTGTATTTACAACATATAATAAAATTGTATAAAGCACAACATAATTGTACAACAAAAGGCAAAGTAGAGAAATATACGGATTTGAGTAGTGATATAGAAAGAAATCAGTAGATTTTTGGTCAACTATACTCATCTTCTTCTGGTAAATCGTATCTATATACCGCTAATATATAAAAACAATCACTAGCATCATGGCCCTCATTAATCCCCTTTTTAAACTTTGTCTATCCATCCACTTTGAACAACCTAGTCCTAAATTAATCAACAATTTCATATAAAATTCAATTAATGCACAACATTTTATTCACTACTATATATTGCAAATGGAAAAGTTGCTCGGATTCATACACATTACCCCTCCTTGGGAGTTTTTGGTCTTCTATTTTGAAAATTTTGAATATTTTTCATAATTTATTTTTGCATTGGACGACTGTCAACTGTTTAAAAAGTATTATGTCGTTATTCTCCACAATATATTTGGCTCAACCACTTATACGCTTTATTTAGACTTAAAGAGTTATATTTTAAACAATAGACCATTGGAAAAAAAATGCAAGAAGTTGCATGTTTAGAATGCAACAACGAAAACTATTTGAAGATGAGATTGTCAATATAATAATGTGTTCAGTAATCTTTGCGCTTAAAATAGAGTCTAGATCACAATTTTGTTACATGTAGGTTATTGTTCAAGAAATTGAAAACTAATTCTCAAATAACGATAGCTACAATTTCGGACGGTAATTGTTATATTATGGAAATCTATCTTAGCAACGACTTTTTAATTTTTTCTCTTTAATATATATCGATTATCGCATGTGACTGAAAAAACCATACACATTGGTTGTAGAGTTTATTCAAATATACACCAATTGAGAGAGTTGAGAGGACCTATGTAATAATTCAGTTAAACTTCAGTGGAAGTTCAAGTAATATACAGAAATACGGTCAAGAGTCAGAGCGCGTACAAAAAAACACACACTCACACAGTAGACGACCGACGTTGAAAAGGACAAAAGATTTGCCCCCGGTCAAACCACCACATTAAGTTATCATCCCTGAGTCATTCCATCCCACACGGCTACGCAATTCCTTACGAAATTAATCATATTCCACCAATAGGATTCCTTCATCTTGACCAATTAAAATAACCACGCCGCCACATAAACACCCACACTCCCAGACTTTGCTTCGTAGTTTCTTTCCTCTTTCTTGATCCTCAAGGTTTTAAAAAAATAAAAAAACACGTCCAAATCCAAAACTCCTTCGTGTTGTGTACTCTTACTACTCGTTCTTCACTATATATATAAACCGACTTCACACATAACCCTATCTATTCTCTATATAAACTCACAATTCACATACTTTGATACTCCAATCTTTCAAAACAGACTTTCTCTCTAAAGACTCTGATAAACCCTTTCTACAACAAAAAGACATATATGGCGGTGAAGAGATTCATGGACGAATCAGATGACGCGGCTAATTGTTTGATGCTGCTTTCTAAAGTAGGTTTGAGTAGTACTCATCATACTAGTAGTTTTGATACCGAACCTTCATCATCGGAATCCGATTATTCCGAGGGGGCGGCCGTGGCAGGGTTCATGGCGGTGGCGGGTCCGTCCGGGAGGGTTTTCGAGTGCAAGACGTGTAAGAAACAGTTTCCGACGTTTCAAGCTTTAGGCGGTCACCGGGCGAGTCATAAGAAGCTTAAGCTTGTGGCGGAGCTTCTAACTCAGCCCAGTGACGCTGGCGGGGTCATGATGATGAAGAAGAAGAAGAAGAAGAGGCACGCTTGCTCGATTTGCGGGCTTGAGTTTCCACTAGGGCAAGCTTTAGGGGGACATATGAGAAGGCATCGGGCCGAATTGTCGGAACTTAAGGCTGAGATTAGCGGTGATGATCATAGTAGTGCTGCTGCGGAGCCGGAGCCCGAGACACCGGTGGGTCCGACAACGGTGCCGTTTCAACCGGCAGCCGTCGTCTTGAAGACGTCGAATAGTCGGAGTGTTAGGGTTTTTGGGGTGGATTTGAAGCAAGAGATACTCAAGAGTAGTCCTGCGGCTCCCTTAGTAAATTGTTTTATTTAATTAATTCGATGTTCGATAGATATTCTCGCTAGATATAGTTGAATTCCATATTCTGTACATAAGAATTTTGTTAATGCTCTTCCTATTTGGTTGAATGGGAGGATATTGAGATTCATTTATTCATGGGTTATTAATTTGAGTGAATTTTTATACTTATTATTTATTATTCTTATTTTTCTGGCTTCATTTCTGGTGCTCTCTTGATAACATATGCATATTGGACTTTGAAGTTAATTGCTGTCTTCTACATGGGATGCGGAACAAGTTTTTATTCAATTTGGTATCAGAAACTAACGTACATTTAACATTGTCCATATTCAGAAACTAGCTAGTACAAGATTACTAGCTAGTGTGATCACTAAGGGAGATATGTGGGATCGATGAATTAAGGCTGATTAAATTTGTATTAAGTACTATGAGGTTTATTTCAGAATTTTTCTATAGAATGGGAAGTAGTAGCAAAATTAGTGGAGGGATGATTAATTGTTAGAAGTATCATCATCAGTTTGTTTGAAGAAAAGTGAACAGAGATTTGATGTCTAGCAATGGATACAATATGATCAGACTAACATATTGGTTCAAAAAGTGAACATTAAGAGATTTGAGGTCTAGCAATGGATACAATATAATCAGACTAACATATTCTAGTACTACTGTACTTAATGAGGAACAAAATTTAGTTAGATGATTATAAGTCTCTGTGTCATTTGGAATACTGATTTTCGGTTTAGAACATGGATTTACTGATTAATTTAATTAGAAATTTAGAATCCAAGTAAAGCTCGGTCCAAAACACCAGACTGACGTTTAATCAGACTATACGTATTGATATCTCGTTATTTTAGTATTCCTTCGGTTCAAACATCAAAGTTGATTATCAAATTTCGAATTTCATATTGGACTATTATTTTAGGACAAAGTTCAGGAGTAACTTTTGTAACTTTTCTTTGTAAAATATAAATAATGTTGTGCTTCAATACAAATTACCAGAAGTGCATAAAAAGAAACTAAAGAAAAGAAGTGTAGTACGTAACTCTAGTGATTAACTTGGACAAAAAGAAGAATGTAGAACAAGCTAGCGTCCACATTGACGTGAAAAATTACAGCATATCAAAACACCAAACTATAGTCAGTATGGAGTTTTTCTCTTATTGTTTCGGTTTTAGGTACATTTGTTTTGATAAACGGTTTTAGATACATTACTTGTTCTAAATGTATGGTATTATTACTCAGAAAACTTCATGATTCAATTATGTACTCTGTGGTACATAATTGAATCAGTCTGGAAAATCCCCTTTAATCATAGAACAGATACAAGTATTTGACGTGTAATTAGTAAAAGGAATTTGGTAATCTTGAACTGATCTGGTGGCTTCTAGGTCAAATCATCATCCATGATCCCAACTGGCAAAAGTAGGTTGAGCAGTTAGCCCAAGTATTTCGAAGTTTCAGTTTTGGTCAAGGTCATCCTCCCAGCTTTAATTTGTTATTATTGTGACGAAACTACAAAGCTAATGCGTGAAGCTTTATTATCTTGGGTGTAAGTCATTGACAGAAATACAAACAAATCATTCGATTCTACTTATTATTAGTCTTATACGACTAGCTAGACAATTAGAAATTAAAGATTTAATGATCAATCGCGGGTAGACTGCTGATTTGAGACATAATTATATTTATGGTTGTTGAACTTGACTTCATAATTTATGGAAGCATTTCAAAGACTATATATATGATCCGCTTTAAGAATCAAAATGTGACCCAAATGTGATATTTTTTTTTATTTTTTTTTGTAATTTCCAATCACATAGTGTTTGGTTTAACGAATGAGACACACACATACATATTTGAATGGTACATAGTTTGCAAAATAGTACATTTAATTTATTTCTTTTGGCAAATGTTATGTTCAAACAACAGGTTACGTGGTTTAAATGAAATGTAAATACACGGATAAAAACCAAAAATTTGTTATTGATTTGATAAGTACCAATTTAGGAATGAATAGAAAAGTCAAGATGCGTAAATGTGTGATGTAAGCATATGCCATAGTCAATGCGTTCGCACTTTCCACTATGAAAGTTGAACTCAAAAAGGAAACATATATATCTTAGCTTATATGTTGCCTACCAAAACTACACACACACGACCTGCTCAGTTGTTTCCTTGACTTGGGACGTCATTGTAAACTTCATTCTACATTTCTTCGTTGATTTTACTACTCTTTGATTTGATAGGTTGTGACGTGACGTTGATGTGGTCATTAAGTACTGTTTCATCACTTTCATTTTACTAATCTATTTCATTGAATTAAAATAATACGATTAATATGAATGATAAAAATAGAGCGTTGAGTGAACATAAATAACTCAAATAAGTAATTTACGATTTCAAACTAAGTACTTCAGAACGTGAGACCTAACATCTATTGGTGTTTAAGAGATATCTAAATTATTACAGTCGGAAAAAAACCTACATATAGTACTAATAACATGGGTTATGTTATAAAAGTATAAAAGAAACCTAAATATATAGTACTAATATATTTGTCATCATCTAATATCTATTGGTGTGTAGGAAATACCTAAATTATTATAACTGGAAAGAAATGTACATATAGTACTAATAAAGTGCATTATATTATTAGTGGGAGGGATGTAGAGGGAGAAGGAGAATATACTTATCATATAATGATTGTTCAGATGATCAATCGACAAGAGAATAAACTAAGACAAAAAGTACACTTGGACAGAAAAGCAAACTTCCTGATTACGAAATCAGAAGCTTCCAAGTTTACTTTCAACTTCAACCTTGTTGAAGCCTCCGCCACCGCGTAACTTGGTTGCCTAAGGAACCGAACCATAAACGCTTTGATGATGATGATAAATATATTCCTCATTATAGGACTACAATTTACTCCATTTGTCACATAAAAATAATCTAGATTATAAATAATGATGAATATGCCTCCATACAAAATTCTTTTGTTTTTTTCCCCTCTCTTCTTCTTCTAAATTTCTTTTGCCAAACATCGTGTATATATAACACTAATACTAATTCCCAATTGTTAGTTTCACTAAAAAAAAAAATACATACAACTGTGACATTGAATTTTTTTTTTTTATTCATGATGTAAGTGTGGATACTATATTTGTATACTATATGTGGAACCTTCCAGGAAAAAGGATCGACATTGATACACAGTATGAAAAATCTCCATCGATCTTTATCGTTTTTTTTTTTTTGGGGGTCTTTAATTAATTTGTAGTGCGTAGAGTTCTAATTATATTTCGTTTAGAGAGATCTGTTTGTTCATTCTTTTCGCAAACCATGAAGATAGTGTGAAAGTACCACTTCTAATTGATCTTATTTGTCATCATTCATAAACTCGAGTAGTAAGTCAGTTATTATCCAAAATAAGTTCCACCAATAATTTAATTAATGTTACTTCCACAAAAGAAAAATAGGAATAATTGAAGGTTATGGTAAAGAACCAAGTAATTTCCAAAGAATAATGAGATAGTGGAAAATGTGTGTGAGCCTAATAAAAAGACTCGAGACTTTTGCACAGGGGATAACGTAGATAAACTAATTTCATACTAGAAACCAGAAAAAAAAAAAAAGAAAAAAAAATGTTGTGAGTGTAATTAATCGATCACCGACGTCGCTGACTAATCTTTAATCTTATACCATTCTTTTTCTTTCTTTTTTTTTTTTGGGTTAAAAAAGAGTAACGAATTGTGCAATTATTACAAGTATTAAAGAAATGAAAATTCGTATTGGAACAACTTCTACGGGCTACAAGGTCAATCTCTGTTGATTAATTGTTTTATGTTTAGCCACCAAACAATATTTACAATATCCAAACATGCATGACGTAATTCTTCAGTGCTGGCTGATTCTAGCTTTTGTAAAAATAGATATGTTTTACATATTTTTTCAAAAAAAAAAAAAAAAATGAACCCTGACCGGGACTCTTCTGATAATGCCACTGCTTTTGAGACACGGTTAGAAAATTAGAATACGACTACTACTTTCGTGAGCTTTCATGGTATTTGGTATCCAAGGAAGAAAAATAATAGGGTGCCAAAGTTGTAGTATATCAAACCTTGGCGGTGAATGCATCACATACGTATTATCATATTCACCAGTCAATTATCCATCACTAACCAAGAAATCTATAGCTACTAGAATATTTGACCATTCTTCTTATTTCATTAAATTTCCTTCTAATTAAGTGAATCTTTAATAAATTTGTGTCCAATACCCAACCACACAAGAAAAAGAAAGAATGAATTAAAAAGGAGAAGACCCTTCTCTTTCAACATATGCTAAAGTTAAATTTTCCGTCGTGGATTTTAATTATATATGGTAAAGTTTAAATTTCCATCGTTTTCAAGTCTTGTTACAACTCTGTTTCATTTATTATTCTTTGGTTCAACTTTGTAATCAAGAGGCTTTTTCCCCTTCTTTTTGCAAGGCGGGAAGATAGTGAGAAAGTACTGACTTGTAGACCTATCTTTATTGCGAATCACTCAATCGTAAATAGAGTAGTTGGTACTCTTCTTCTATCTAGAACAGAAAATCTAAAATGAGTTCCATCAATACTGAAATGGTAAAGAGCTATGTGATTTCCAAAACATCAAGAGACATTGCAGCATATCGATGTATGACTTGCAACGTATTGTACTCCGTATATCCATCTAATCTACGATGTATTTTAGCCACATACATACACTTAACGGTAGATCACCATTTCATGTTTTGTTAAACTTAGTTCAAAATTTCATGTGTTGGAGAGGATATAACAGAATTATTACAGGGAGAGTATAAAAAGAAGTGCCTTGTCAAAAAAAAAAAACTACTATTGTGGCTAGGTAATATGCACTCAATACATCTTCAATCTAATTATTCCCTCCGTCCCAAAATTATTTTCCAGTTTGGATCCTAAAAACGAAATCTCAAACTGGACAATAATTTTGGAATAGAAAAAATATTACATTTCTTTCGTTCCGAAATGATTCTATGTTTTAACATGAATATATATTGTCAAAGGGAGTTAATTAAGTATGATATAGAGATTATAAAAATTAACCATGGCTAGCTAACTGTTGGATTTAGAGCCTCTCTTCTTTTTTTTCTTGGATCAAAAGGTAAGGCCGCATACCAACACCCTCAGGGGGGTGTTCAAAATAATGGTAGCCCCAAGTCAAAGACTTTGCGAAAGAGGCTAGGTAATCTGCTGAGAAATTAGCTTCTCTGTGGATGTGCCGGACCTTGATCGTCCATGGTTTGCGGAGCAGCTCCTGGATTCCTTTAATGAGGCTCTCGTGTCTATTCGGCTCCCTTGTATCCTCCTGAACCATTCTGAGAACACTCAAGTTCGTCTATTTCCAGCTGCACTTTCTTCCATCCGCCTTCCCAACAATATGGCCAACATGAGTTTTAGAGTCACTGCCAACGCCGCCACAGGATCGTATATGATATTGTAGCAACTAGCAAAACATGGAACAAGCAATGGTTGCCGAAGAGCACGTAACTCATCATCATTATTCATTATCATCATCAATGGTTACTTTAATGCTAGGCCTTGAAGAAGAGCACGACTAGGGAGGCATGATGGAGATGAATTACAATGTGAATTCTACCTAATTTACTAATTCCATCGTTCACCTTCATAGTGTAAACATTTATGTGATAATACTACTAAGTACTAAACATTTCAAATGCACATTTATCATAACTCTAATTACACAAAATCGGATTCAAAGCCTATATTTGTTTGCATTTGTAACTCAAAAAAGGGCTTCGTTGCTATGGCGTGGCATAGACTGACGAGGCTACCAAATAATCCCAGTTAAATGTACATTAACTATAAGGTCTGATTGCCGAAAACTCTGGCTGAACTAAACCTAAAACTTCAATTTTGAACTGTAGTAATTCCAAAAAGTGTTGGATACACCGAATTTTCATAACTAAAATTACGAATTGAAGAGAGAGATTAAGGGAGAAACAGAATTATGCAGAAAAGGATGTATAGAACGCGAGAAGAAGGGTAAACTTGAAAATTTTCTCGCATTAACAATTACTGGAAATCTACTACATATTAATACCTTCAAATCACAACCAAACTAACTACAAATTTCTTTTGTATCACTACCTTCACGATCATGAGAATCCAGCAGAAGCAGAGCAGCCTTCTTACTGTGGCGCTGGCGGCGGCGGCTTGAAGAGCTCGTGGGGTTGGACGGTAAAGAAGGAACCCGGTTCAATTTTCATCCTCGGTCGCGGCTGCCGATTGAATATCCTGGTTTCCCTTCTTCCTGCATCAGGTAATTCTCTGTTCCATGGCGTTAATAGAAACGAGTTATCATAACCCAGGAAAGACGTCAATCCGGAGTAATTATTGTAGTTGTTGTTGTTTTTGCTGCTTGGTTGTTGATGATGATGATGATGATAATCAGCAAGTTGGGGTTCTTCAATAATACGCTGTCGTTGCAAACTGTAATTTCTCTGGGCTTCTGCCATTGTTACTGATGCTGTTGGAACCTCATGATAATATTGGTTTCTGTAATAAGCAGCATGAAGTCTAGCAATATATTCTGGATCCATAATTGTTGAATTGTTGTTGATGCGAGTAATTTTTAGGTTTGAGGTCGACCCCAGATCACAAAATCGATTTTTGAGTTTGGGGTTTTTGATTGGTAATATACATATAAGTTTTTGGTGTCGGTTCCCCTGTTAGAATTGGATTCGTTTTGTTGTTCTGATTGGACAAAAACACCTTGTAGGCCTATTTTTGTTTTGAGTTTCTCTTTAATAGAAGAAACCTTATTTGCAAAAAACTACCATTATGAGATTACTATACTTTCTCTGAATTTTATCACCGTACTTTGTTCTCATCAGCCTCTGTATCTGCGTTTATTTAAGCAGAGAACTTCTGAGGAATCCACTAATTCGTCCAAATAGCGCATAAAAGATGGATTCGAAAAGGCAACTGTTTGAAGTAGATCTTCTTGAAAGATATGCTGCAAAAGGACATGGAGTTATTACATGTATGGCTGCAGGGAACGATGTAATTGTTTTTGGAACAAGTACAGGGTGGATCATCCGGCGCGATTTTGGAGTTGGAGATTCCCATGATATTGATTTTTCGGCTGTAAGTAGGTCTGGAGATCAGTCATCAATTCATCGAGTATTTGTTGATCCTGGTGGTAGCCACTGTATAGTTACAGTCATGGGTCCTGGAGGTCCTGATACATTTTATGTACATGCTAAATGGACTAAACCTCGTTTGCTTAGCAGATTCAAAGGTGTTGTTGTGACCGCTGTTGCGTGGAACCGGCAATTGATATCAGAAGCATCCACAAGGGAAGTCATCCTTGGTACAGAAAGTGGCCAGCTTTACGAAATTGCTGTTGATGAGAAGAATAAGAAGGAGAAGTATTCAAAGTTTTTGTTTGAGTTGAAGGAACTCCCTGAAGCTTTTACTGGATTGCAGATGGAAACATCGACTGGTATCCATGGAACTGCAATAAGATACTATGTAATGACTGTTACTCCGACTAGACTTTATTCATTCACAGGAAAGGGCTCATTAGAGTCTGTTTTTGCTAGTTATGTGGACCGTACAGTTCATTTCATGGAACTTCCGGGAGAAATACCTAACAGCGAACTGCACTTCTATATCAAGCAAAAGAGGGCTTTACACTTTGCATTGCTCTCGGGAGCAGGAATATATCACGGAGGGCTAAATGTTGGTGCACAACATAGGTCGCCAGATGTTGATCAGAGTTTTGTGGAGAACAAAGCTCTTTTGGCCTACTCAAAACTGGGGGAAGGAGGTGAAGCTGTTAAGCCTAGTTCAATGGCTATGTCTAAGTATCACTTTCTTCTCCTTAGTGGGAATAAGGTCATAGTTGTTAATAGGGTTAGTGAGCTGCTTGTAGAGGAGCTTTATTTTGATCAAGTTACAGATACGGTTTCTAAGAGTATTATCGGATTATGCAGCGATTCATCCGCTGGAATGTTTTACGCTTATGACCAGAACTCCATCTTTCAGATCTCTGTAAAAGATGAGGGTCGAGATATGTGGAAGGTGTATTCAGACTTAAAGGATTATGCTGAAGCTCTGGCGAATTGTTGTGATGCCCTCCAGAAAGACCAAGTTTATTTGGTACAGGCTGAAGCTGCTTTTTCTGCTCAGGATTTTCTCGGAGCCGCACACTTTTATGCAAAGATCACCCACGTGTTATCATTCGAAGAGATCACTTTGAAGTTCATTAGCATTGGAGAACAGGATGCTTTGAGAACATTCCTTCTTTGCAAGCTTCATATTCTTGCTAGGGTAGATAAGCGCCAGCTAATGATGATCTCCTCCTGGGTTACTGAACTATACTTGAATAAGATCAACCGGATACTTTTGGGAGATGATGGTGCTTCTGGAAATGGTAGTTCAGAGTATCAGCTAATTATTCAAGAGTTTCGTGCTTTTTTATGCGACTCCAAGGACATATTGGATGAGGCAACTACGCTGAAGTTACTAGAAAGCTATGGTAGGATTGATGAATTGGTGTTCTTTGCTAATCTGGTGGAGAAATATGAGGTCGTGATTCGCCATTATATCCAGAAAGGAGAAGTGAAGAAAGCACTACAAATTCTTAGGAAACCTAACGTTCAAATAGAGCTTCAGTATAAATTTGCCGCAGACCTTATCATGCTTGATGCACATGAAACTGTTGAATCATGGATGGCCACAAAAGACCTGAACCCGAGAAAGCTAGTTCCTGCTCTGATGCGATATTCAAATGAACCTCATGCTAAGGACGACACACACGAAGTGATCAAATATCTTGAGTATTGCGCTCATCGTTTGCAGAATGAAGATTCAGTTGTTCACAATTTGTTACTTTCTTTGTACTCCAAGCAAGAAGATGAGAGTGCTCTTCTACGTTTCTTGCAATTCAAATTCGCTAAAGGGAGATCCAACGGCGGCCCTGAATTTTTCTATGATCCCAAATATGCTTTGCGCATTTGTCTAAAAGAGAAGCGCATGCGTGCCTGTGTTCATATATACAGCATGATGTCCATGCATGAAGAGGCAGTTGCCCTTGCACTGAGACTTGATCCAGAGCTTGCCATGGCCGAAGCTGACAAAGTTGAAGATGATGAAGTTTTGAGGAAGAAACTGTGGCTTATGGTTGCTAGACATGTCATTGAACAGGAAAAGGGTACAAAAAAAGATAATATTCGCAAAGCTATAGCTTTTCTCAAGAGAACAGATGGACTCTTAAAGATAGAAGATATTTTACCCTTCTTTCCAGACTTCTCTGTTATCAATGATTTTAAAGAGGCAATCTGTTCATCTTTGGAGGACTACAATGAGGAAATTGACAAATTAAAGCAGGGAATGAATGATGCAAACTATGAAGCAGACAATATGAAGAAAGATATTAGTGCACTTGCCCAACGGTACGTTGTCATTGAGCATGGCGAAGAATGTGGAGTTTGCAGAAGGAAAATATTGAATGGAAATAAAGAGTATCAGAAGTCACATGGTTCTATATTACCTGCATCAATGGTCCCTTTCTATGTGTTTCCTTGTGGACATTGTTTTCATGCTGAGTGTTTGCTCACACATGTGACTAATGGAACTACTCAAAACAATGCAGAATTTATTTTGGATCTGCAAAAACAGCTTACACAACTTGGTAGTGAACCAACTAAGAACCTGATGTTGGAGAAGATAAGATCACAGTTGGATGATGCTATTGCCGCTGAATGCCCATACTGTGGTGACCTAATGATAGACGAGATTTCGAAACCTTTCATTCGGCCTGACCAGTTCGATGAGCTCAACTCGTGGCAGATCAAACCACAAGATAACATTGCGATTCTGCAAAGCCCGTCTTTAGGTTCAAGATTGTGGGGTGCTTTGCTTCTTCTGTTTGCATTTTAGCTGCTGTGTCAGCTCTCTTCTGTCTGTCCAGGCTGATCCTTCAAAAGGCTATATTTTTGTGCTAACATATATTTGGATTCATTAGTATTTCGTGTATATATAAATATGCTTTTTCATTGCTTTGGGTTGATTTGAGTATCATCCTATTTACTCCAACAGATAAATTTGAATATTCTAAAGGTTGCACACATATAAACGATAGAATCTTGTTTTCGGGCAATTTTAATATGCAGAGATTGAGGGGAAAAATTTAAAAAGATTAATGAAATAGTGAATATCATGTGCAATTCTCAGTACTGAATAAATGTTTTGTGCATTACGCAAAGCATGAGCTAACTCAATAAACTATATTCTAAATTATTACAATCAAATCAAAACTATATTCTAAACTATATTCCACCTTCATGCTTCGTTTTCATTTGTTGACTTCATCATTTTGAAAAGAAACTCGATGAAGAAGTCAACGACGTAATTTTGTACAAAACTTTTATCGAGCAAAGGAAAACCAAGGCTCGCCATAATTTTGTTACGAATTTTTTCTTTCGTAATCTGGCAGAGGTATGCAACGAATGAGTCGAGATGTAATTTGTATGCGGAAATTTCCTTTCGACGATTTCATCATTGGGCGAAGAAACTGGACGACTAAGCCGACAGCATAATTTTGTACAAAACTTTTATTTCGTCGACTTTATTGTCCAGAAAAGAAATGTGATGACTAAATTGACGACATAATTTTCTACTGAGTTTTTCTTTAGTCGTGTCCATCATTTGAGAAAGTAACCTGACAAATAATTCGATGATGTAAGTTTTTGTGCAAGTTTTGTTTCGACGACTTCATCGTCGGGAAAAGAAACTGTACGACTAAGTCGACATAATTTTTTTGTTCAAAACTTTTCTTTCGTTGCCTTAGTCACCGAAAAGAAATCGTTTGATGTACCTTTTTTTTGTCGACTTAACCATCAGAAAAAATAAGGCGACCAATAAGTAGACGATATAATTTTGTAAAAAAAGTTTTCTTTCGTTAGATATCATCGTTGGGAAAGGAAACGCGACAAACAAGTCGACGTCGCAATTTTGTCAAAACTTTTCTTTCGTCGACATTTTCGTCGGGAAAAAGAACTCGACGATCAAGTCAACCAAGTACTTTTGTATGAAATTTGCATTTCGTATTGATCTTATTTTAGCTTGATGACCAAGTGCCATTAGCTGGCAAACAACGTGAGCTTTCAAGATATACTTTGTTTTTCCTATTCAAAGAAATTAAACTAGCAGTTATCCTTTTTTTTTTTTTTTCCTTTTCTCGTCTTTGAACTATGTATCAAATTGTTGAACTTTGACACACATCAATTGCAGCATATATATATTGATGAGGAACTACCGTTTTTTGCTTTCTAGACTCTTAAATCTTCAAAAACATTTTATTCATACCATTTTACCTTTCAGAAGCTGATGGACGAATGAGAAAAAGAAGCATGGCGTACGCGGCGGCGCGTCGATTTTAAGTGCCGGGTGCCTGAGAATCCTTCATGGTGAGAGGCGCACTTTTGATGTAGACAATTCTGAGATTGAGGAAGTTTAATTGTATGGTGCTTGCACACTATATTCCTGTCTGCCATGAACAAGGATTCCCTCCAACATTAATTAGGGATTAAAGAAATTTGTACTCCTTCCACAGTTCTAATCTTAATCTTTGTCTATTAATGATTTCTTAAAATTGTACTACCATTTTGTTGAGAACAAACTGTTTATTCAAAACTAGTTGTTTCTTCTAGATACTGTAATTATTGTTCTCGTTATCATATGTATCAAAATATAACACAACAAACTGAACAATTATTGATAATTACCTTTTCAAGTAGCTTTCAATTTTTATGCAGAAATGATGCTGCTTCAACGCGGGACGGATCTATTAACGTACTCCTCTTTGTTTCGTCTAGCCTCAACATTGCTATAGCCCGCCAAGACTTCACTCTCTCTTGCTGCATTTTGGGTCAACCCTTGTTTAAATGTCAAGATTCCTCTCTTTTTTCCCCCCAAACAATAACCAATATAGTGTTAGTGTTTTCTATTATGTCATTCACATTTTATAAGATTTCTTTCCCCGTTGTCAAAATCCAACCCACAAGTTATATTGACTACACAAAGTTTGGAGCATAAAAAAAGATATTTAAATCAACATGTCCTTTTTTGTAATCGGGAAAAAAGTCAACTAACGTTATCAATCATCATCATGAGCTGGTTGAATTGAATTATCGATAGATACATATTTACGTTGGCCACGTGCGTCGTACCGTTTAATTTTTCAACCAAATTTTCATCGTCAATTAACCGATTAAGTTGAAGACCTTGACATTTCTGATAAATTATACTCTTTTTATTTTAATTTTTAAATTATACTCTTTTTATATAATTTAATTTTTCATGTTTAAGTTATAAAAAAATTTTAAAAAAACTAACTAGACAAAGAATACAATCTATTACACGGTTAGAGACAGAAACTAAGCTAAGATGCATGATACATGTAAAACTAAGATGCATGATATATGTACAACGTGACGAAGGAGGAAGCATTTTTTTTTATAGGAGTTGAACTGGAAATTTCCCCTCTTTCTTTTTTCTTTTGGGGGTGTTTGTTTCATGAGACAATTCATCTGTGATAACAAAACTTCTCGCAAAATCATCCTAAAGTCGGCAATCACATGGATAACCATAAATTGTCCTGTCAAAACTCAGTATGAATTATTTTATTTTATCTTTTATCTTTTATTTTATTTTATTTTATGAATAAATGTTTATGCTTCACACGGCAACAATCTTGTCTAAAGGGAAGAGTCGAAGTAATCGCAATTTGTCAAACTTTAACCCCATATGGAATACTAATTAATGATTCTTGACTGACTTTGTCTTTCTGCTTGGATGTTAATATGTTATATATAGTACAAGGAAATTAACAAGCTGATCAAAAACTGTTCAACTAGCTACGTTTGTACTTTGTACCAAAAAATGGCAACCTTGTTTATGGTCATCTTCTTAATCATAATCCCAATTCTTCTCATTTTTCATCATCTCCATAAAACCCACAAACCTCAGAAAAAGCATCCACCGGGCCCTCCAGGATTACCATTCATCGGAAACTTGCATCAGTTTGATGCTGCAAAACCACATGAGTTCTTAAGGAATCTTTCCGACAAATACGGCCCTTTGATGTCGTTGAAACTCGGGAGCGTCCCTGTTCTCGTAATTTCATCTGCAGAAGCAGCTAGAGAAGCCTTGAAATCCCACGATCTCATGTTCTCCGGCCGGCCGGCGCTTACGAGTCACCGGAAGTATTCGTACGACGGCTTGGACGTGGGTTTCGCGCCATACGGTGAGCCCTGGAGGGAGATGAGGAAACTCACCGTCGTTCATCTCTTAAGTAGCAAAAGGGTTCAATCGTTTCGCCCGATTCTCGAAGAGGAAGTTTCCACTTTGATCAAAGGAATTTCAGACCATTCTTCTGATGATGAGGTTATTAACTTGAGTTCAATGGTGATGAATCTGACTAACACCGTCATATGTCGGATTGCCTTTGGGAAGAAGTATGATGAGGATGGAGATCATGAGAAGAGGAAGAGATTTGATCGGATTTTGCTTGAATGTCAGGCTATGTTTGCCGGGTTTTTCGTGTCGGATTACCTTCCTTCTTTAAGGTGGATTGATAAGTTATCCGGAATGTTGGCTCGTCTTGAGAAGAGCTTCTTGGATCTAGATTTGTTTTATCAAGAACTCATTGAAGATCATCTCAATCCCAATAGGCCGGATTCAATGAAGGATGATGTTCTTGATCTCATGATTCAGATCAAAGAGAAACAGTTGTTGCCCTTTGATTTAACTTGGGATCGCATCAAGGCTATGCTCATGGTAAGTAATTAACTTTTCATCCATTTGGTGTCATTTTGTTGGGTACTATAATTTGGTGTCCTTTATTACTTACTTTGTTTCAAAACTATTGTCTAGTTTGTCTTTTCATTTTTAGTACAAATTAAATTAAAAGTGAAAATCCAAACTGGATAGGAATTTTGGGACAGAAGGAGTAGTTATATATGTATGTTCATCACTCATATTTGATTAATCATTTGTGTGTTTTTGCAGGACATATTTGTGGCTGGAACTGACACGAGTGCAGCTGTTATTATATGGGCAATGACAGCCTTGATGCAGAATCCTTCTATTATGAAAAGGGTGCAAGCTGAAATTAGAGATTTAGTTGAAAAGAGAGGAGTAATAGACGAAGGAGTAATTCAAGATTTATCTTACTTGGACGCGGTAATAAAAGAAACATTCAGATTATATCCTCCGATGCCTGTCATTATGCCAAGAGAAACTACACAAGACTTTAGCATAGAAGGCTTCGATATTGAAGCGAAAACCATGGTTTTCATCAATGCATGGGCGATCTCTAGAGATCCTCGAAATTGGGAGAATCCAGAGGATTTCATTCCGGAGAGATTTTTCAATAGTAATGTTGATGTCAAAGGAAATGATTTTCAACTGATTCCATTCGGAGCAGGAAGAAGAGGGTGCCCCGGAATCTCACAGGGGCTGTCAACTGTGAAAGTTACGCTTGCGAATCTTCTTTACTCTTTTGATTGGGAGCTGCCATTGGGAATGAAACTAGAAGACATTAACACTGATATATTACCGGGAATAACCATGCATAAGAAAATCCCTCTTTGCCTTATGGCAAAGAAGGTTAGAAGTCAAATACAGTACTAAGATAATGTGCACGTATGTTTACATTATTTGGAAATCTGAGTAATTTTACAAAGTCGTACTATAAGTTACTTGATTCCTTTGTTATTAGTGCAAGGCTGAAGCGTGGCCTAATTTCCATGGGTTTGAGATTTGCATGGCCTGTGTACCATGATGCAAATTCATTATGACCTACAGAAATTTCATGCCATTCATTTTGAAGATCTGGACGTTTAAAATTAATCTGCGCGAAATCTGGATTAAACGTGGAATGATACATGGGCTGAAACATTGAAAATGAGATTTGAAAAGGCCTCTTTCCTATAAAATACTCCTTTCCTATAGAATTAATAAACCTTGTAAAATAATAATAGTATTCCTTCCGTCCCAAAATTATTGTCCAGTTTAAGATTTTGCTTATAATACAAATAAGAATTGTACTAAAAATGAGAATCCAAACTGGACAATAATTTTGGAACAGAAGAAGTATAACAAAACGAACTTAATTTTTTTTGGATGAAAAGAGTATATGGTTTGAGAAATATATATAGGATTGGAATAGGTGCGACATGATTTTCTTTAGATGAAAATGTCATGGAATGAAACAGATAACTTGTGCAAGGGCAAAATCAAATGGTCAGCCCATATGCATAGGCCTGGTTATGCTGCATTTTCCTCAGATGGTTTGGTTTTGTTTGCAACTTTGCATTACGGTGATATAAGCGAAAAAGGGAGGGTTTGGCAGGCGGTAACGGTGAATTATTGTAATCTTGATATTAGTTTTTGAACTTGAGGGGTTGTGATTTTAAAAAGTGTGTTCTTTTACGAAAAAAAAAAATTGGTATAAGCAACTTGATGAGTTGTTAGTAAAAAGGAATTTGAGTGGGATAAATGAAACACACAATAATTTTTGTTCTTTTAACAAATCTTAAATTGATTGTGATATGTTGGAAAATAATTTCATAATAAATCATAATCAAGCGTTTCATCGACTGTTTCATGTAGTGATTCTAATAATTCATTGCCAAATGAAACACACAATAATTTTTGTTCTTTTAACAATTCTTAAATTTTACTCCACTTTTGAATTGAAAATTATACCAACGGGCCTAAAAGGTTACTCAACCAAGTGAAAACGTCATTTTTCTTTGATGCAATATGGATATAAGCCAGCTGAAAAAAAAAATACTACAATTCTACTTTTTAGACAAGGCTGAAATCCATCTGAATACTGCTCCTCACATAAAACTAAGATACGGACGGTCAAGATTGATCCTCACATATACACGTGTTCTAATCCCCGGGGGAACTAGTAATAAGTTAGACTTCGGAGCAGAGATCGTCTGCTTTGCGCCTTACCGAAAACGTCATTCCTTCTCCGGGAATTAACCTTTTCAGTCTGAAAACGACAGCGTTCCCAGCCGGTTGTCCCGCCGCCAAATCTAGCCGGAGATCACGTGGAAATTACTGTTTTTCGTCGGAGGTTCGAGATCGTTAAATATTTTCATTTATCTTTCTGTGCCGAATTTCTCTTTTTTAATTCAACGTTCTCGTTTAGGGCTTTGCTTTGATTCGTCCTCTTTGTTCCTGTGTTTTAAGCTTTTATTTCTGAGCTGGTATAAAATTGGAACCATTAATCTTGAAGTTAAAATGTCATATTAGCTGAAGAATGAATTCTGAATGCTTTTATGTCGAATCAATGTAGGGAATCGCATTTCGCTGTGCAAACTAATTGAAGTGTGGAACATCAGCAAAAATGGTAAAATCTTTTCACACATTATCTGCCTTGTTAGTAGCCATTTTAAATCCAAATGGGTTTCTTTGCATTTTATTTGATGATCAGGAAAAGCACCACGTAAAATGATTTTGTCTTTTGGTTCTCTTTTTCTTGGCATGTAAAGAGGAAGCTTCTATGGAAGCAATGTGAGACTTTTTAAGTTTTGTATAATGATTGACTTCATAACAGAGATGAACTCTAATGAGTACCATGATACTTTGCTTTTCTATCTGCCATTTTCCTTCTTTTTGGGTGTCAGGTTTTTAATTTGTGTGTGTGACTTCCATTTTGCATTTTTGGTCCCTGATTAGACATTTGTTTGATGACTGCTCCATTAACAGATATGGGAAAAGAAAACAAATCTTTTGCTTATGACTCGTCCCTTTAGCAATAATAACCTGTTGAAAACTATAGTCCTGTTTCTTAACAATTTCTGATACTGTCCAGAACATGAAGCTTCATGTTTTATGTATGTGGTATAATATTATTATCTGTTCTCCATTTTGAACAAGTAATGATATAAGTAGAGATTAATGCTGTGAAGAGCTTACTTTGAGATTTGTGTTAGAATTTCCTTAAGACTTTTGAAATTGGACATTTTCTTGGAAGCAAGGGAATGCTTATTTCGGGCTATTTTTAGAAGATTCTAGAATGCATTTGACCATTGAAATAATATTACGTTGTTTGCTTATTTGCAAGCTTTGCTTTCATGGTTTCTGCTTTGGTGCTTATTCTTGAGGTTAATATCTCAGTTTGACTTTTTATGACCTCGTGTGCTGCATGTCCCTCTCTTTATTGTCTTGTGATCGTCCAAGGAGAGTAGGACCTAATCTGTGAGGTTATTTTTGAAAGTATTCATGTTCTAACACATAAAATTTAGTCGTTCGTAGTTTTGATTTTCTAAGTATTTGTTTTGGTTTGACATATCCTGAGGTCTCCTTTTTAAAATTGATATACAGTCATTTGAGGACAAGGGATTTTGGATCCTGAAGGGCGGTGGCCATTTAAGTGATAGTGAAACAGTTTTTGGTAACACCTCTAGAATTGAAAACAAGCGTGCCCACAATTGGCTGATTGATTCCGAGAACCCAGAGTTATTCACTAGCAAAAAGCAAGCTGTTCACATTCCAGTTAGCAAGGAAAGTTCGGACCTCCCCGTGGCTGGTACTCTCGGTTGGGAGATGAACTCTGACTTCCAATCAACTCCAAGTCAATTTATTGACCGGTTATTTAGTTCAGACGAAAATGTTCCTGTTAACTTTTCTGGTGAAGATATCTCTCCAGTGGTCATGGAAGACTCCAACAATAGGAGAAAAGTCGTCCATGAAGAATTTAGAGACAATTCATCTGTTGGTTTGTCAATGTCTTATCCTTTTGATGATACAGAAACATGTGTCAGCTATGGTGGAATTAAGAAAGTTAAAGTAAATCAGGTTAAAGACTCCGAAAAGGGTTTTCATGCAACAATGCAACAACAAAATATTGGAATGCCCTTGAATCATGCATATAGCAGGCAAACTGAAGCAAGTCTAATTTCAATGGAGCAAACATATGGTAAGGAAAGAGAAAATGGGACTTTGATGGGTCATTCTCACCATAGAATTGATGTTAGCTTAAGACAATTGGATTCCAACTTCGTTAAAGATGATGAGAATGCCATGTCACTTGGCACCAGCTTTAGTAAGGGCGATTCTACTACTATTTCTTTTGGCAGCTATCCAGACGAATCTTTCATTGATGCTCTTGCGAGGCCTGTGAGCAGTTATGAGCTGTTATATAATCACTCTTCCCTTCAAAAAGTGGAAACACATTCTGGAAAGCAATTGGATGGCTCAAATGGGGCTCCAATTCTGCCCACCTCCCAGACGACAACCAAATCAAAACCTGAACCAGTGGCAAAAACCAAACCAGAGCCTAAACCAGCCAGAAAAGAAGCTCCAAACACTTTCCCTTCCAATGTCAGAAGTTTGATAGCAACTGGGATGCTTGATGGTGTTCCTGTAAAATACTTGTCCGCATCACGTGAGGTAAAACTTTTTTTGATTTTGCTATCATTTCATAATGGTGTTGGTGGATCACTTGGATCTTACTACGTTGTCAGGAGCTTCGTGGTATGATAAAGGGTTCAGGGTATCTTTGCGGTTGTCAATCTTGTAACTACTCCAAGGTAATTTCATTATTGTAAACTCAGTTTTTTTTTTATTTTTTTATTCATAACTTGTAAAATCAAAACTTTCCCATGCTCCGGCTGATTTGTCATTTCTGCTGCAGGCTCTTAATGCTTACGAATTCGAGCGCCATGCTGGTTGTAAGACAAAGCACCCAAACAATCACATATATTTTGAGAATGGAAAGACAATATATCAGATTGTCCAAGAATTAAGGAGCACACCAGAAAGTATGTTATTTGATGTCATTCAGACAGTAACAGGTTCTCCAATCAATCAAAAAGCTTTCCGCATCTGGAAAGGTAGTGATACTGCTTATCCCTCTTCCTCCAAGAAAAACATACCAAAAAGAGTACTAATTGTTGTTCTTTTGTTGGTATTCCAGAATCATTCCAAGCCGCCACTCGTGAGCTTCAGCGTATTTATGGAAAGGAGGAACACAATCTATGAAAATGTTTATTCAGGAAAAGGGGTTTTACATTCAAAACCTTCTCTGTGCATAGAGGTATATACCCTTTAAATTAGTAGGAAACTAGGAATGCTGGAGTGAGGTTGATTTTGTAAGTGTTGATGGTAGTGGTTGTATATGTAGGAATTGGCTCTTCCTCTATAATCAGCTTGTTGATTCTTGGATTAGATGTAATCAGTGACCATGTAGGTAGCATTTTGAAACCTGTGCTCTGGTGGTCATGTATTTTGATTATCTCAAGTTGATTATACAGATCAACCAGCCTTCCAGACATTACTGGTTTGCTTCTTGTTATCGTGTGTATTTTGATTGATTTTATCTGAAGTTGATTATACAGATCAACCAGCTTTCCAGGCATTACTGGTTTGCTTCTTTTTATCGTATGATGTCAGAAAGAACAGAAATACACAAATTTGAAACAATAAAGTATTCGCGGTGAGCAACAGAAATTTCAGGATCAGTAAGAAAACTTAATCACACACTAACAATATAATCTCTCTTCTGAAAGAATGAAAAATGATAAAATTACATCTCCAAAGGGTTTTTGTCACAATTAGTTTTTCTCCTGTTTTCTCGTTCCAATATAGTAGCACCTGGCGCCACATCTACGCAGCTGCCTGCCTACTCAAGAACCGCAACATGCAGATTTTTGGGGTTGATCTTGCCCATTAGAAGGACCCGGTTGATTAATTATGAGTGTTTTAGCCTACAATTGAGAACCAAATCAAATTAGTCCATTTATATTTATTTAAAAGTGCTTCAAATAATTGTGGATGACTTACCTCTGCCTTTGAGTCTGTGTCGGAGAGCCTCTGCTTGATGTCCCTAGCTATTGAAAAGAAGACTTGTTCCACATTGAGATTTGTTTTTGCACTCTGCAATGTAGAGCATCATCAAAACAGAGATAAACACAATACAAAATATCCCTTCCTGTACACATATCAGGTAAGAACCAACTTACCGTCTCAAAAAACTTGATACCATATTCATCAGCAAGAGCTTGACCTTTAGAGGTAGGGACAGCCTACACAAAATTCAATTCTTTTCAGACTGTAGCCCATGTGCACAGAATCACAAAACTATGCCGAAGAAGAATCTATAAATACGTTCAAACAAGTATGCAAAATCCAGTATCTTCTCTTTCTCACAATTACATAAAATCACATCAGAAATATAAAAGAAAGTGTACCCTTTTGCTTTCGTCCATATCAGCCTTATTCCCAACCAAAATCTTGTTCACGTTGTCAGAGGCATGTTGTTCAATATTGCGGATCCAGTTCCTAATATCTGATTAAAGGTTCATGAAAAACTAGAATCCATCAGCAAAACAAACCACCAATTATACAAGATTACTCATTCCACAAAAATCGCATTGAATGTTAGGAGACAATTAGATCGATAACTAAAGATAAATAGACCGTAATTTTTCCTAGTGACGATTAGACAAAAATGCCATGGAAGCAGGTAGCTTTAAAATACAAACTGTCTCAAAAAAATAAATAACTAAATAAATAAAATAAAAAAATAGTCCACATTGAGTTCACAAATCAGAACTCAATGTGGACTATTTTTTTTGGCAAAGTAATAAAAAACAAACGGTGGTCACCAGGGGAGGAAAACAATCAACTAATAAGAAAAGATGCAGGAAAGGGGAATCTTACTATTGAAAGATGATTCATCCGTAACATCATAAACCAACAGGATTCCCATGGCTCCACGATAATAAGCTGCAGGATATTCAAAGGTATTCTGGTTAGCTGCTTAAGTTAAACATATAAAGAAGTTGCCTTATGGTCAATAATTGAACATCAAAAAACCAAGTGGATTGTCACAGAAAAAAGTTCATTGCGGGTCAGGAAAATTAACAATGAAAGACTGCCAGACAAAAATTGACTATGCAATAAAGAAGAAAGTGGACTGTCACAAAAAAAGTTCACTAAGCAACTTTATGGTGGTCATGAAACTTAACAACAATGAAAGAAAAGGTGAATTACATTTTCACGCACGCTTTTTATTTGCAATTTTCAAAATCATGGACACTGCCCATTTCCAAATGCAAATGAGGTAATGGAAGCAACAGATGCATTTACCAGAGTTTTCCATCCACTAAGAGAACATACTTAACTTATTAATTCAGATAAGCAAATTCATAGTTTGTTATAGAGCAGTTTCTTGCTTGAGAAATAGTGGAATGAAAACAGTGAATGAAGATAAAAAAATTGTATGTCTTACAAAGAAAAGGGAAAATGTTAATTGAGAGACCACTTTAAACAACATTCCAAGAGTTTACCAGTCGTGATTGTTCTGAACCTTTCCTGGCCAGCTGTATCCCATATCTGGAGTTTAACTCGTTTCCCATCAAGCTCAATGGTTCTTATTTTAAAGTCAATTCTACAGAATTACAGCCTCATAAGTCCTTAATACTTTAGGAAGCAGAACAAACTAATATGACAATTCTTGATAACAGAAATGAATGTAATGTACATTGCGTACATAATGAACTCACCCGATGGTTGTGATGAAACTGGTGGTGAAGGAGCCATCAGAGAAACGTAGGAGGAGGCAACTCTTGCCCACACCTGCACGAAAGATGCAAGAAATGTAAGTAACAGTGAAAAGTTTCCCTGCAACTTATCATAACAAGTTCTCTTGGAAGTCAACAACATCAACGTTATCCCCGATAGAAAACATCAAAACATGAAGGTAGATTGCCGATTCATTCCTTGTAACATCAACCTCAGAAACATAATCCAAGTTAATCTACAAACTAGAAACTAATTAGATCCATGGAAATGATCCTTTTAGGAAAGGCAAATTTTCATTTACTACAGGCATTCAAATTAAGGGCCTATTACGACAAATCCTTCAGGGAGGATCCAATTAGAAAAACATATTGAGAATCCTCTGAACAGTAAAATATAGAACCACATACTCTAAGTTATAAGAACTTCCTGAGAATGTCAATAAAAAAAATAAAAAAAAATGGGCAGCAAAATCTATCTTTGCAGAGTATGACATCCAAAATACACAACCTTACATTCACGTAAACTAACTATGACACAAATAAAGGGAATCTTTTTGTTAGCCGTAAACTTTAGCCGACACTAAAGGAAATCAATTACTTCACAAAAAAACTAGAAATATTCCTTTGCCATGCTGCTAAGGACATTGAGGCAATGCCCATACAGGACGGATATAAACCAGATGCTTTTTGTCCAACCAATGGAAGAGATAAAATAGCAACATATCTAATAAACGTACATGAGAAAATTTTCAAACAAAAAAGATGGAGAAAGAAACAGGAGTCTGATGACATCAAAAAACATAAAGTTCCCTTCTTTTGAAACTTGAATGTGTTTATTCGATACTTAAACCACCCGGATCAAAGTACCCAAAGCATCCACAATCATCACATTCAAGCTCGCAGATCCACATGATTACGGTCGAGTTCAATTAGACAAATTTCAGCAAAAAATGAAACGCACAAAAAAACTCATAATCAACTCAATTGCTCGATCTGTAAAATTAACACTCACCACTATCGCCGATGAGAAGAAGCTTTATGAGGTAGTCGTAGTCCGCACGAGCCCTCGCCGGTGGTGCGGCCATTGTTCAATAAATCAATTCCAAAACCTCAGGCCACGCGGAAGAAATAAATAACCAACACAAACTCACACAATCACCTCTGCAACGGAAAAAAAAACCAACAAATCAAACACAAGAACAATCAAATTCAGGGAATCATTACAGAAAGAAACAAAGATTCGGATCGGCGGTTTTTTGAAGTGGAATTACCCTAAGCCGGGAGTAAAGTGAGGGCTTTTCCGCGTCGGGGGTGGTGGTGATGGATATTATGAGCGCCGCGCACGGTGGGGAAAAGCCGAGACAGTTTTAAAATGTGGTCCACGTTGCGGCTTTTTATTGGCTGGCGACGATTAAACGACAGAGGAATTTGTCGTTGGGGTGTGTCTTAGCTGGCAGAGGGTGGTGGGTTCGGGTGTGGCGTGGCCTATTAGAGTTGACATACACAACTGTCCGATAAAACGAGAGTAGTTTGTAAACAAGGAAAACATTTGTCGGTTTCAACTAACTGAAGGACCATTTTACCAATTATAATATAGAGTTCCTAAGTACACCTTGCAAGGTGTATCTAGTTTAAAATTTACGCGCCCAAAATGGGGAGAAAAAAAAAGGAGATTTTCAAATTTTCAATTTCCGGATATTACTCCTAATTTTCAGCCATCATTAATCATATTCAACTTCACGTTCCAATTCAAAGACGCCTCAAATAAAAAAATTCAAAAAATCAAATATTCTATGCGGTGATTTGGCATCAAAACCTCTTGTCTGGCGATATTTTTGAAGACGGAATACGATTGTGCATCAAATCATGTGAGTTTGGTTGTTATTGAAATGATTAGACCATATCTACCCATTATTCATTATTGTTGTATTGATTACTCATAGTTATAATGTGTAATTAGGAGTGAAAATGTGATTTTTATAAAAAAAAAATTCTATATATTCATCATTGTATTGTACTTATTCATTTTTTTAGGTTTTGTTATTCATTGTTACTGCAACAGTATTGCATATGTAAAGGTTGAATATTCATATACTTGTTCATTAGTATTGGTATTATTGTTCATCACATATATATAGTTATTCGTCAAGTGAATTTTAGTTATCATTATATACAAATGTGTTATTCATTTGTTTATTAATGTTGTCATTTCTTGACATAATGCATCAGTAAGGATAGATAGAAACAATCGGAGGTTGAAGCAAGTAAAACCACTGAAACTGAAAAAATCCCGTCACCAGTTGAAATGCTCATCAAGATGAACTCGATTGGCAGGGAATCAGAGTTGCTGAAATCAAACAATCAACATAAAAGTATCGAGTATCAGCGAATCATTCAAGACTTTATATGTTAAAAACAATGACTAATTTTTTTGTTTATTTTTTGTCTAATATAATGAATAATTAGAAGTTTTTTAGCTTAGTTGCTAACATTAGCTCATGGTAAAATATATTCTCGTTAGTTTTTTTAATTAAAATTATTTATTCTGTTGCGCATTATTCATCCACTAACGACATTTTATTCATTCAGTAAGTTATAATTATTCATCTAACAAAACTATATCTATTCTTCATTCTAGTGTTGTTATTCATCTAGGATGGGATCATTATTCATCAAAATTTGTTTCGTTATTCATCTTTGTAAATATTGTATCCATTTCAAAATTTAAGTTTATTTATCCATAACTTTATCACTATAAATATATCATTATTCATCAACAATATTATCATTATTCATCGATAAGTGTACCATTATTCATCCAAACAAATATCATTATTCATTAAAATCTTTCAAATTTGACCATTAATTTTCCAGATTCCATTGTTAATCAGTTAAAATTTTTTGCTGCAATTGATTATCCAAATTTATAAGTCTCGATGATGAACCATATTCAATTTTACCAAAATAAAATTCATCATTATAAAAAAAAAATTCTCATAAAATAAAATAAATAAAAAATCTAATATGATAAGATCTGGAGGTTTAAAACGTGTGCTAAAAAAATAGATAAAATCTGGTAGTTTTAATGCAGTTATAATGCACGTGTAATAGGAACTATCAACTCCACTCTCTTTTGCAAATTTTGTAATACATACACCTCTTAGGTACACATTGCAAAGTGTACCTATGTGTTTGTTATTATTTGTTCCATTTTGCTTTTGGAACATGATTGGTTTTGTGGGCACTATAATTTTTCATACGGTTGAGAATATTAATACTTGAGAAATGAGACATTTTAAAACGAAATCATTTGACAATATAAATATTATATGGAGCTAAATGACCAGATAAATGTGTACATTGCTACATTCTTGGGACATATTTCAGGTTTGATATGTATCATGAATTCGATTAACGTTAATTCAGTATCTACATTGTTTCATTTTTGAGATTATAAATGGTGATTTTTTTAATGTGTGACATTTGAGAATAATAATACTATTAAGTTTAATAAACTGAATTATTCAAATAAGACATGAAAAAGTATTTTGACATATTCTAGTTAGAAGGCCAGACAAACTCTGTAATTTTATGAACACTATCAAAGTGATTTGAAAGATAATTTAAAAAAAGAGAAAGAGAAACATTTTATAATCAAACTGATCAATAGGATTCCACCATAAAATGAAAAGTAACCAATATTCTGCGATTTGTTTGCATGGTTCCTCATCATAAACAGTTACAATTTAATATTTCAGTGTCATAAATATTAAAAATGCCCGTTGATTGCTGTAAGCCTGTAACCAATAGCACACGGATTAAAATTGATAGTGCATTCAAAATAAAGATAAAATTTGTACAATGGTGTTCTCACAAAGTATAATTGAACTGCGAAGAGAGACCTATAAGAACATACCGTCTCGAGCGTACGTGGTTCTTTTAATTACAAAAAGCTCAAAACTTTTTTTTTTTTTTTTTTTTTGAAAAGGAGCTCAAAACTTTCATTGTCACATGTAAGTATGTAACTTTAGGCAGTTAAATGTTTTCTTGTGTGCTTCTCGGGTAACATGATGTTATTTAATCCCTATATTAACTGGTATTACTTTTTTTTTTTTCATATTGCAGAGTATTTACCATCGACAACAGTAACTAATCCCCCACTTTCATAGTAGGAGAGTTGGTGTAACTGGTGTTACTTTTATTTTGAAAACCAGTGAATCATACGGTTGGGACCAATAATTGTTGATAACTTAATAAGATTAACAATGTTTATATTATACGAACACTAGTTCTCATTTTATTCGGAGAATCTTATAAAATTAGCATTTATTCTTGGATCTATTCGAACCTCGAACTTGAACGAGCACTTATTAATTTTTCCCGTCGTTCCTTAGTAGCATTTGTTCGAGGCTTACGAGTACTTACTTGAACTCTAAACTTGTTTAATAGAAGAGAATTTTCTTACCAATTAATCTAATAATTCACAGTAAAAAAATTATTACTCACATAAAAATTGAATAACAATCTTATAGTTAGAATATTGTGTTTTTTTGAGTAGACTAGGATTTGTAAGAGAAATTTTACCAAATTTAAATAAGACCCACTATATATATAAAAATATTATTACTTACATTAAATGAATGTGGAACATAGGAACAAGAACGAATTACTGATTCATATTATCATGTACGAATTGTACTATTTTTAATATAATTTATAAATTAGAGTGTGAATTATTTTTATGAAAGAGGAGTAATAATTAGCTACAAGAAATGGAAATTGGAAAGCATTAGATGACCACAAAAGGTAGTAAGACCGAAGAACTGTGTAAGACGACTCTATAACATAAAAGTTATGCTAACAGTAGAGCGTAAAGATAAACCCAAAGTCCACACATGTTAACGTAACGTTACTTGGATTGGATATCTGCCATATTTGTAAACCCACAAAAAGATTGTTTCTCTGTTTAAAAAACAACTAAATTTATTTGATTGTTTTGATTTGATAAAATGAATTATT